TGTGATTGACTGAATACTGTGCTGGATGCGTCCACACTTAATCTTCATGAATGGCAATAGGATTTAATTAGCATCAAAGGAAAAACAGATGCACAGATGTCGTCATAAAATTGGATTTGTGGGTATGTGAAGAGAATGCAAGGCAAACTAGACTCAGTCTATGAAATTAAACTAACTAGATTGCCAAGAAACATGTCCCATTTCTTATTTTGTGTTTGTATTGATTTGTTTGTGCTGCTATGAATGTTTTATCATTCTATCAACCAGTCCTTTTATATTATTTAAGAAATAAAACCTCTTTTAGCATTAATACATTTTTCTTTATGGGCAATTGTTAGTTATAGTAACCTACATACCTGGTTCCCTGGGTAAAGGCTTATTGATTTTCCTAGCGCCTGCTGTTAATATTTTGTTTGGCGATGGAGGCTCAGCAAGTCTACACAGGGGAGCTGTTTACATGATCAGTGGAATTATTATCGGGTTGTATAATGTGTACCAGGCTACTGGTACTTACACTCTTACAACTTTATTAAACAAAGCTGTTCTTTCCTTTCATTGCTGCATCTAAAACCATAAACACACCCACAGTGATTCTACCCTAAAATTTGGGTTATACACAGTAAGTTGTTACAAAGGCAACTCCTTGAATACGGACCTGTCCTAAAATGTGTTCAGAGTTTAATGGGATCCTGCATAACTGGCCTGAAAACCACTGTAATACACAAGCAAAAAAGGCGTAATTTTTTCTCTTAACACTAGCCTCTCTCCCCCTTCTCCAGATACTTCACTTCCTCCCTTCCTTCCAGACTCTGTCCATGGAAATTCACTCTATTATTTGTTAATGCTGTTAACATTTTAAGGTTATCAGAATAAAAATTACAATAAACAGCTTGGTGGCAGCCTGCTGGGCTGATCGTGAGCTAACCAAGGACCTCAAAAACCCAATCAGGAGTCACCCATAGGGAAATGAGAAGGCCTGAGGAAAGGAGTCCAGGAGTGACCAGGTGGTATACATCAAAGGTTGGTCATTCGGATCCAGAGCTTTCTGAAATGTGTCCTTCAGACTCTTGGGTAAGAGTCCACTTTAAGTCCACCCCAGCCACCTACTAGAGCCAGAGATGTTTCAGTCCTTGCCCCAGATCAGTGGTTCTCCAACTACATAGGCAGGCAGAGATCTCTTTGAAAGCAGAAAGACTTCCAGGTGGACAACAAGAGTAATAGAAATAATGGTTGCGGTGGTGGTAGGAAGGGTGATGAAGGGATAAGGAAGGCACTGCAGCTCTACAGGCCTTCAATACATCTGTTGGGGAACCCAGAATTTATGGGTCAGAAGATCCAATCTCAAATCAGCTCAAGGGAGTGGTCACCATAGACATATATAATAGGCTGAATTTAACTAAAGAATTTTCAGTAAAAAAAAAAAAAAAAAAAGCTTTAAAATTATCAAGAGCATTAGCCATGTAGCTAGCTGTCAAAGGCAAGCATCCCTGGTATTTGTTAATGGTGAAAGATGGCCCATAAAAAGTGCAGCAGCACTAAAGACCAGGCAAATTAGTCATTACCAATTCTGCTCATTTATTCAACAAATTTTCACTGCATGTCCACCCTGTGAGACATACTGTCAGATACTTTCAGGATCTGGACATAGTGGAATTCAGAAAACCAAAGGTGGCTCTAAATCACGCCCTATAAGAAACAGTTGAAATAATCAGGAATGGTTAGCCTGAAATAAGATTCTGGGAGAACATGAGGCCCTCATGCTTATATATTTAACCTTTTTTCTTCCGTAAAAAAGATGAGACTTGTCTGGTACAGGACCACAAAGAATATCAATGTGTGCAAACCAATGGAAGGAAATCCTTACAATGCTAAGAATGAACCTCCTATCAGAGAAATCTGAGAATGAGCTGTTCAGGGAAGAGCAGAAGCCTAATTAGCAACATTGGTACCTGGGGCACTATATACTATGGATATCATCACACCCCTAAATCTGACTGCTTCAATTCAAATCACCTAAAGGCAATCACTGCTAACAGACTAGTGTTTTCCTGTGCATTTTTTAAGTGAAATTATACTATACAACTTTCTTTTTATTGAAAATTATTTCTCTAGGGTATTTTACAGACTACCAATATTTACCAAAGCTTTCCCTAACTATTGGACATTTACAGTTTAGTGGTAAGAGTAGCTCTCAAGACACACTGCCTGGTCTAAATCTCACTGTGCTAACCTGGGAAAGTTAACTTATTCTTTGTACCTCAGGTGCCCCATTTGTAAAATGGGGGTTGTACCTGACAAAGTAGCATTAAAGCTAAAGCAAAGCAGTAACAATAGTGCCTAACATATAACATGCACTCAACTTTACCAATATAGGTAAAAGCCTAAAAATCTGTGGAGAAAAATTGTGACTTTGAAGTAGATTACTGGGTGTTCATGGAAAATGCTTCATCTAGCGCTCTTGGGGTAGGTAGGACTCTGATCCTTTGGGTTTGAGCTATTTTACAACTCTGAAAGTTTACATAAATGATACTTGTCCACAGACACACGAATTGTCAGGGTGAACAGTTATTGACTTCCCTCCCCTGTAGAAAAAGCCAGTTTTACATTTGCTTGTAAATTAATTTCAACATCCTTGATTCACCTATTGTGATCCTTTGAATTCTCCTATAAAAAGGTGGAAACACCTTACTGGTTTCATTAGTTAAATCTTTGACAGGATGGATCCTTGAACAAGTCCCATTCAGCCCTAATTTAATAATTCGAGAAACCCAAACCTAATGTTTCAATGCTCTATGCTCTAATGGTTAGACCTCACGGGATCTACCATTTTTTGCCATTATTGAACCCTTACTAGGTAATTTAATTCAACTCAACAACTAAAGGCATCATGCTATGTGCTGTAGTAAATATGTAGTAAACATGGTTTTCATATAATTGATTGATCTTTAGGGACAAGTGTTTTAACTTTATAATGTGTTTACAAGTTAAGAGCATTAGCATAGACAGATGTCAGACAGATTCAAATTGCAGGGTGGTTTGATCCCTTTATAACTTGGAGACTGCAAAAACAATCTCTAAGCCTGTTTCCTCAGCTATATAAATATATAAAAGATATCTACGGAAACATTCTGAGACTTGAAAAAGGTAATACACATAAAGCACTTTGCATACAGTCTGGTACATACATTTTAATACAGAATCTTTATGAGCAAGTCATTCAATCCCTAGCAGAGAAACCAGGTCACCTATTCACACGTCTTCTCACCCACTACCACCAGACAGACAGGCCAGATCAGGCTCAGGAGTGTTCCCTTCCACACATTGCTGAAGGCAACGCACAATTCTTACAAGAACTTTAACATGGGGCCATCCTAGACCAGCTCATCCGTGAGACTCATACCAAAATCAAACACATCTTATGTCCCCGTTTACCTGTGTAACCCTGAGAATCTTTGTTTTGCATGCAATCTCAGGTCCACTCCAGTTATGAGAAACTTTCCTACATCCTCTTCTTCTTCTCCCAATATTCCACCTGGTTACCCTGACTGAACCCTGACTCTTCCCTTAAGAGGCTTCCCTAGCAACTGCAGTTTACCATCACCTACTCCTGGGACTCAAGGTTAGAAGTGGTGAATTTTAACAAAGCTCTTCAAACTTAAGCTTCAGTGTCCTTAACTTCCGTGAGCTCTTTCTTAGGTCCTGGGAAGTATACCAGCAATGCATTCAGCAAGTTCTTAAAAATTTCACATGATTTAACAATTGGTTAAAACATTTTTTCCACTCCAGCTTCCCCTTATTTTCCTTCTTGACAAGTGACATTGCACTGATAAATTCTATCAGAGGAACATGATACAGTTGATCACTTCCTGCTTAGCTTCTAGTATACCACTTTCTTGGTCCTCCTTCGGTCTACTTTGCTGAATCCCAGCTGTTCCTGCAGCTAACTCTGAACAATCTTTTTTGTGTATTTATTCCCTAGACTTTAGGGCTTAGATTTCATCCAATCATGAGGATGAGATCCCAAAATACCAAATACCATTCAAAGTGAGGACAAAGTTGTGTATCCAGTCTCAAGCTCCCATGATTTCCAGATGAACTATTTGAGAGGTCCACTAGACATCTTAACATTTCGAATATAATATGCCCCAAACTATTACTCTTCTCCAAACCAAATTTTCAGTTCTAACTCAACAGCAATTCTAGCCTTCCAGATACTCAAGCCGAAACCCTTGGAGCCACCCTTTACTTCTCACATCCAATCCTTCAACAAATCTTGTCATTTCCACCTTAAGAAGTCATTATTGATGACCTCAACCACTTTTAACCTAGTCCAAGTGAAGATTACTTGCCTAGTCTATTCCAATAGCCTTGTTTCCCTGTTTCCAACCTTGCCCCACTAAAATCTATTTTACCCACAAGATTCAGTGAACGTTTCAAAAAACCAGTTCATGGCACTGTTCTCCAAATGGAAGCTTATCTCAACAACATCGATCCTACCTTTCAGCTTCTCACTACTCGGCTCCAACCACAACTTTACTGTTCCTAGAAGGCTGCAGAAGATCTCTCCACCAAAGGATCTTTGCTCACCTAGTAAGCACCTAAACCACATCTAAGCATGGCTTCTCAGCAAACAATTTTTAAGATCATAATTTATACAACCTCCTCTCACCCCTCCAAATGCTAAGAAATTTCTGCTTTTCTCAGCAATCACACATCTGACACATATATCAATCACTGCTCCCTTCCACATACAATTGAGCATTTACAAGCTTTCATGCATTAATTATCCCAAAAGCTAGGACTGCCACCTCTAGGCAAATGCCCAAAGATTTGTGATAGCCCCTTCTCAAAAGCATTTATCAAGTTTAACTGCCACTGCCCCAGCTCACTACGACTCAGTTACCAATGACAGTTTGTCTCAAGTTATATGCCGGATGATCCTATAGTAGTTTACATAACCAAAAATGTTTTGAAACATAAAAACAAAACTGGCATTTACCAAGAGTTCAACATGAATACTTTTATATAACCAGGGGTAAACAGGCCACAAATTTTGAAGATCAATCCACTGAGAAGATAACAGCAAAATTTTAAAAGATTTCTATGATCATGTGACTTCCATTCACAATCAATAAAACACTCATAATTGAAGTTTTTATTTTATATACAAAGAGCTAGCACTGTTTCTGCAGATGTCTGGAATGACCCATTCATGGAAGTCCACTTAGTCCAACTGGAAAAAAAGAAGCACATAGAAAATGAATTAATTCAAATGCTTTAAATAGTCATTTTACTCTCACAAAAACTGGCTCATTATAGAAAAATGGTTTAAACTGGAAATCCAAACCCAAACTATTATCAAGATCTCAATAGTTTAAATATTTACTGAATGCCTACTACAAAAGCTGTCCCACAAACCTCAACAATGACACTTTAGCCTGTGATTTTTAGTATTCATATTCTCACTTCCCCTCTCGAAGAAATTTCCCCATAGAGAATCACGATTTAAAATGATCTTTACCAAAACTCAAGATGGTTATTAACTAGGTAATTACAGAGCTAGTACTTTGGTACTCAATGTATGCCAGACACTATTCTAAGAACTAGTCAGTCACATATTAGCTCATTCAATTAGCCTCTGAGAAATCCAGAACATAAAGCTAGGGAGTAGGCTTGAGTTTTCTTATTTGAGATACAGTACTTCCCCACTATATTATTAATCTTCTACATTGTAACACCAAGCATATACTTATGTTTTTGGTAAAGGGTAAAGTCTAAACTCAAGATATTTTGTCTGCCACAGAGATCTATATCCGGTCTAATCCATCAACACAAAAACATCTATTTTTAACAGGGACGTTTTAGGTTCTACTCAATATCCTAAACAAAATAACTATTAATCAGATCAATGTATGTATCTCTAAGGGCCAATAAGGAATTAGTTTTTACCCTAAAAAACTGATTATTAGGAGCTAGGAGAAGTTTCACAAAAACAGTAATTTTTCTAGCAACCATTCCGTTCATAGTTCACAGGCAGAAACAGCTTTAAATGACTTGATCTGTCTGAATCTTCACAAGGTCTATCTGGCTCTAAACCTCAAGTTCATTCCAGTATATGACACTATCCAACACTTCAGGGCAGTGGTCAACACAAATATTTGGCTGGGAAATGTCTAGGCACGATTAAAAACATATAATTTAATTTTAGCAGTCCTGAAACGTGAATAATTTTACCCAGCATAATACATGGCACCTAAAACTGGCAGAGCTGGGTAAAAAGGTCTTTAAAAGACTATTTTTAAGGTCTTCACTCCTCCCCTATCCTATTAATCTGCACTGTCACCTGCTGAGAGTTTTGGCAGATTAATAGGATAGACTTAACTAAAACAGAGAACGGTATTAGCCTACTGCTCACAGTAAAGAACTACCCGCACACACGCTGCCCACAAAAACGAAAAGAGAGTATGGCGTCTGCGCACGCGTACCTTAATGAAACCTATATCCTTCGCGTACTGACGGAAACACTGGCGGCACATATTGAGGCCGTATTTCCGGATCAGACCGTGCCGGTTTGAGCAGACGCGGCTGTAAAGAGAGATGTCATTACGACAGATCGCAGAAATTACAGGATTCCGCAAAGAGGGAAAGGGGAGAGGGGTTCCACCGACCGCACCGCTGGCCTTCAGGAACCCACTGGAGGCCTGTAATGGCGACAGTCAGGGCTCCAATTCGGTCTTCCCCTTCGCGCCGCCTGCAAGCGCCTCTACTTTAGAGTTCAAGCAGCGTTGCGCCCCAAGCAACCCTTCCCTGAAACCACATTGTCTCTCACCAAGAACGAGACCCCTGGCCGAATTTTCTCGGATGGCTCCAGTACAGTTGCTGATGACCCATCTTGCTCTCTCGGAGGCAACGAGGCAAAAGGAAGGACCTAACGCACGCATGCGTTCTTGAAATTTTGGGGACAGTTTACCCAGAATGCAGTGCTGACAAACGACGCGTGCGCAGTGTAGTTACGCTGTTTCGCTAGAGTAGCGCGAAGGTTTGGAAGAGTTCCAGGGCAGCATAGCGGATGACATCACCACAGCTCAGGCTCTAGTGCGCTCTCGCGCCGCCTCCGTCCGCCGGGCGCGGTGGCGCGCGCCTGTAGTCCCAGCTACTCGGGAGGCTGAGGCAGGAGGATCGCTTGAGCCCAGGAGTTCTGGGCTGTAGTGCGCTATGCCGATCGGGTGTCCGCACTAAGTTCGGCATCAATATGGTGACCTCCCGGGAGCGGGGGACCACCAGGTTGCCTAAGGAGGGGTGAACCGGCCCAGGTCGGAAACGGAGCAGGTCAAAACTCCCGTGCTGATCAGTAGTGGGATCGCGCCTGTGAATAGCCACTGCACTCCAGCCTGGGCAACATAGCGAGACCCCGTCTCTTTTGAATCAACCCTCGGGAATGAATTTTGAACTCTCAAAATAAATGTTTTTACGATACTACTGTCCCTTCATTGCCTGAACCCTTTACGTTCTTTTAATTAAAATTCTACTCTTGAAAAAAAGACTTTGCCTCAACCTCAGCACTGACACCTACTGGGATAAATTGACAAAATAACTTAGAATCAGCTGTAATGATTAGGAGTCAACGGTAGGAGTTTGTATTTTGTTAAAGAGAATACGTTTTTAAAATTGTTTTTTTAATCGACACAGCCCTAGAAATACACCTACACCATTCCAGATGAATATTGCGTGATTTAATATTTAAACGTAGCTAGTAGAGTTTAAAGTGAAAAACAAGTAAATGTGCAATGTATGCGGCTTTGACCAGGTGATTTCAGGACAAGACAGCGACTAAAAACCAAATGCCTTCTCAGAATCTGCTCAAAGATGTCTAAATTCCACATGGTCATTTATGATGTGTCTAGATAAACGAAGCTGTACATGGCTCTAAAATCAAAGCTTTACCTGTAAAATGTAACCATGAATAATCTAGGAAACTTTTACACATGAACTTTCAATATTAGAACTAAAATACAACACTTCTAAAAGGTTGTGTTTCTTCAGTATTCTGGTGATATGCCCCTCCCAATCATTAAATTAGGCACTTCATTACATATGAAGGAAGTAAGCAAATGTGACTTGGTTCCCGCCCTTACAATTTGCAAATGTAATGAGGAAAACAGGATTATTTTAAAGCCCTTCCTTCCAGTTACTACTTTGTGACTCTGTGCTGTGTGTACCGCTAAGTAGAACACTCCGTATTCAACATTGGGTGTGGTTATGGAATTCAAGAGGAGCAAAGAGAAATTAATTACAGCTTGGTGCATTTCCGGGGTCTTAGAGGTAAACCTTGAAGAGTAGAATTTCTACAGGCACCAGTAGGTGAAGGGAATTCCGAGTGAGAGGAAGAATTGAAGCCAAAGAATGGAGTTAGAAAAGACTTGGGGAAAATGAACAACCTTGTGTAACTAGAGTGGAGGATAAACAAATGAAAAAAAAAAAAAGCATAGTGATAGATAAGATTTAAAAGGTATTTAATTTTAAATCCGCTCTGTAGAGGGTCCAGTATCAAGCTTCTTCAGTTTTCCTGGAACTTGTATCAGTCATTGATATCTGGTTAACAAAATCCATATGGCTCTCAAAAGCTAATCTAACATTTGCCCACACCTAACCCTTCTCAGGCCTTTCTTAGTTGGTCTTTCCTAGGTTGTCTCAATAAAAGATTACAATGGTTCTGAGATCAAGTCCATAAATACTTTCAGCACTCTAATATATAAGCCTTTGGACCCAAAGTTGGAACTCATTTAAAAGCAAAAACAAAAAGGACAAAAAAGAAATTAGTTACTTGAAAAAGCTGTTCAACTAGCTTGATATTCAAGTCGTTTTTAATGTTTATTCTGGTCTTGAAAGTTATTCTTGAGATATTACAAAACTGCAGTTGGGAAGCTGTATTTCCTCTCAGCTTTAACGTAATGCGGCACCATCTGTCTCAACCAATGAAATTATCAATTTCTTTTTCACTAAGAAGCTTAGAATACAGCTTTAAAAGTCCATTTTTACCCAGTGTTTATAAAGAGCTTTTAGTTTAACACTGCACTCTTCTTACAGATTCCTAGTGCTCTTTTGTATTTGCCTTTTAAATAGTTTTTTAAGACACATTTTCCCCGAATATAATACCTAATGAGCTTGGTTTCCTTTTTTCCAATACAGTGAAACTCAAGGAAAAGAAAAAATGTGCCATTATCTCCTTGCCCAGATAACTCCTATTAATATTTTTTTTTTGGAAAAAAATAAAATATACATAACATTAAAACATCCTACCAGTACAGAATATAGACATAATTTTTTAATTTGAGCACATCAGAATGGTCTGCATGTGCTTAACATCTGCATATTAAGACACTATTATTCAAGATAACTCCTATTTTCATCTCAAATTTCACAATTATCTGGGATTGTACATCCAGAATTTCATAGTTTAAAGAACTTCATTTCGCTCGAATTCCTTTCACTTTCAGAACCTTTAGGAATAGAATCATACTTTATAGTTGAAAAACTCTATTTTGCCATAAACAAGGCTTAAGATACATGTTTTGCATGTTTAGCTATAGAAATGATATGTACACTTTATTTTCATCAGCCATGTCTTTCCAGCTGTTCAAAATTAAGTCATTAATGATTTAAAGCCCAATGTTTAATACTCCGATATACATACATTTCAACAAATATTGCTATTTTAATTACTTATGTGTTCTAAAGTAAAACATACACACATAAAATAAAAGTTTTTTTAAGTAAGGCTTTCTTCAACCCACACCCCTATTTCTTCAGTCTTTCCATCCAGAATAACATATTATCAGTTTTGGTGAGGATCCTTAAAGAAATATCTATCTTTCTATGTACTCACACACGTATGTGGGCAAATCCCTTTACTCTTTGCAGCCTCTATACCTCTCATGTAAAATGAGAGAATTAAATTAGAATATCAGTAAACTATGTATGTGTGTATCTATATGTACATATATGGACACGTAGATGTATAAATGTGTCCATATACATGTTTGTATTTATATGAATTTTTATATCTCTCTTCATTTTCCCAAACAGAAGCATACCAGACCCACTGTTTTTACAAATAAAGAGGTCATAAAGCATCTTAGAAGTATTTAAAAGCTATGGAGGAATATATAGTAAAAATAGGGCATGAAGATGAAACATCCTTGGGTAAATCTTTTTTTGCATACTTACATCTATATTTATATAGTATATTAATAAAACAAAGTATGTCTGTATATTTGTTAACTATTTTAACTTTATTTAGTTTAGATGTAGTTTACCATTAAAACAAAAAACTCCAAGATGTGGTCCCAATGTGCTAGGGCAGATAAGTCAACTATATATTGTGTCAATTAATTGTGATCTCGGACTTTAAGAATATGACGTGACTGTTTTTACTAGCTCGAACCTATGGACCCTGGCTGAAACAACCACCTGGAAAGACATGGCTGATGAAACTGAAGTGTACATATGATTGCAATAGCTAAATATGTAAAATATGTATCTTAGACCGTGTTTATGGCAAAATAGATTTTTTTTTAAGTTTATGATTCTATTCCTAAAGAAGATACCTATTGAAAAGGGTTAGCTGGGCTAAAATTTAAACGCAGAGCCTAGCAGCTGTTTCTAACACAGGGCACTCTCACTTCTCAGGGAGAAGTCTGCACTGAACTGTCTGCCTGCACTGTTTCTGCCATCTGAGCCAGCCTTTATAAGAGTCCTGAAATTGTATTTCAACTAATAGGGCTGAGGCTTTTTCCATCCAATCGGAGCTGTGCAGCCGTAGCCCAACTAGCATCTTCACTGACCAATCAGAGCAGGTCTATTCGAACCAATCAGGACAGTGCTTTTTGGACCAATCAAACTTTGAAGATTTAAGAGTCCTCCTTTATGTGAGGACAGACCAATCAGGGATTGGGGCAGGGGTTTTTCTCTCTATATAAGTCATCTCCCTTGTGGCTCCAAGAGAGTGTTTTCCTTTTCTATTGGAGGTTGGGTTTCCCAGGCTAGAGCTGAAACACCTACCCTTGACCCTGGTGGGGGAGGGTTGCTTCACTGCCTTTCTGCCTCTTAATTAAGTTGTAACACTGTTAAGCTGTTCTCATAGCCTTGATGCATCACAATTGAGCTATTTGCACTGAGTAAAGTTTCCTTCATCACCCCACCTCAAGTTGGGGAATCACCCCATCTCAAATTGGGGATTCCTGTTGGTGTTGAATTAGAGCCAACAACCATTGGTTAGCAAACACAAGTGAGCTACAAACCAAAGGGAAGAAAGTTTCCTATGACCATGAATGAAGGGAAAAGTCAGAGTTAATTATCTGTTGATTGCCTGGTATATGCCAGAAACCTAGGGAATAAAAGGAATGAAAGGTTATTGGAGTGGATTTCCCCACTCCCAAAAGGAAGATCAAGATGTTAAAAAAAGCTTATTAAAAACTGAACCGGATTTTGAAAGATTAATAGAATTAATTAGTATGAACAAAACAGAAAAGGGAATAAGAACCAACTTGACAGGAAAAATAAAATCTATATGTTATTTTTTTGGTTCCTTTTGTCAAAACCTGTAGCCCAATTTAACATTCCTTGTGTATTTCCATATCTAGTCAGTCTGCAATGCAAACTAGCTTGAGATAATTGAGGGTAGGGAAGGTTAATGGGCAGGCTTTATTTGAATGATGGTAAAGAGTGTCAATGTAAGAAATGTCCAAACATGTAGAGAATTTTGATAAGTTTATTTGAGCCAAACTGATGACAATTATGAGGAAGCAAAATCTCAATGGATTAAAAAAATTCTCCAGTCTATGGCCATGCTACCCCGAACAAGCCCGATCCCATCTGATCTCGGAAGCTAAGCAGGGTCAGGCCTGGTTAGTACTCGGTTGGGAGATCACCTAGGAAGACTGGGTACTGTAGGCATAAAAAATAAAATAGGATCGTAGGTTGACAAGGTCCTTGCAATCTGTGAGGTCAACCAAGGGTTGCCTCGCCTAAGAAAATAAAAAAAAATGAAAAAATTCTCCAAAGAATGGCAGTTTGCAGCTTATTTTATACATTAGAAGCAAAGGAAGAAAGGCAAGGTAGGTTACGTGAAATCATTGGGGGTAGATTTAAGGGAGTGAGAGAAAGCAAAGCAAGGAAATCTCCGAGATTGAATAAAAAGTAAACAGAGAGACACACACTTCATTTACGTTGGTGGGTACAGGATAGTGAATAATAAACATTTATAGCACTTAGAGATAGTGTGCAGGAGACAAGGTAACCATGAAGGATACCCTGGTCTTGTGCTCTGGTGCAGTAGGTTGTACCCTGAGGGGCCTGGAAAAAAGAGATTACTCTGACATTCCAAGAGCATGTTATCTTAGATGCAAAAAGACAATAGACAGGTTTACTTAAGGTAAAGATTGACCTTAGTCAAGAAAGCTACAGGCCTAGGATATGACTACGTGCCATGATCTGCTTTTAGTTAGAAATTTTTATGTTCAGACCATCCTATGTGGTTACTTTTGGTCTTTGACTTTGCAGGGCCCACCATGCTGGCCTTCGCTGAGCTTGTCAGGTTTAGCATATGGCCCCTTTTCCATCCACAAGAGAAGTATGGATAGGTGTTCAAAGGATCCCTTGTTTCATAAAGAGTTCACTAAGACCAAAATAAGTGTCAGATCCAAATATTTCAGCCTTAAAAATTGGCTGTCTGAGAGGAAGATGGGGGAAAGGAGATGAGATCTTGAAAACTGATATTTATTTTACTTTCAGTCTTATATGTATTATCTTACTTAATCTTAAATATTTGGGGAGTCAAGTCTTTTTTGAGACTCTGCCAATTAGGAAGCTAAGTTTTTGTCAGTACACACCATTGTTCTATTATAAACTCACCTTGGCGCTGTTAAGTAACTTTCATATCTTTATTTAACATTTAACTGCTATATCCATGCCTCCACAGCCCATGTAATATCAAATAAAAGATTGGAAGATTTTTTTTTTTTTGGTATTCTTGATTTTGTGCATTATTTTAATTGAAATTACAGTGGTTTGTACAACATTTAAGATTTTCCCAGCTCCCAACAGTCCCTGGAGGTTCAGAGTATATTTTACATATTTATAATGCTTTAGGGCTGTGTTTTATTATTTTATTCCATATTATTACCCAAAGAACAAAATGAGTAATTTCTATAAAGCCTAATAGTCTCTGAAAGCTGTTAATTTTCTCTTGCCATGAGATTAACTGTTGCTAAATGCTTGAGTAGTGTTTGCATACTCTTCCTGCAAGAATACTAAACAGAAAATTTACTTTTGCAAATTTTTATTTTAATTACTACTTTTCATGAATCAACTACGTTTTTCAGAATTTTATCAACAAGTAGCACGTTAGGTTCAATATGTTAACAGGGACACTCATTTAAAGATACATTATACCGTCATAGTTTAATTGAAAATCGGTATTTCTTGACACCGTTTACAAAAATACAGTTCAGACGAAATGTAATATTTAATAGAAGGTCGGGAACAGGGTGTGGCGAGAGAGGAACCCAAGGCACACAATTTAAGGAGACAAGACTATGACCCTGAGAATGTCTCCTTAACATGTGTGCCCCAGGCCATACCCAGGGCCCGGACCTTCTTTAATATATGGAATAAAGAGTCCAAAGGGCGTTTGAGGTCTGGACGGTCTTCCCAAGTTTCACAAGCAGTAAGCCAGTCACAGCATCGAAGCCCCTCTCAGTTGCAAAGTGACAATTCGTTCAATAGAAATTGCCAAGTCAAATACTGTTAGTACAAGTTCTGTTCTGAAGTGACAGGTGTTGCTTCCACGCGCTCTAGCTGGCATTGGGCAAATTGGAAATGTCCCAAGTGCGGAAGCTTTGTAAGTAGACTTTCCCTGGGATACAGGCCTTTCCTGGGGAAACTCAGTGTGTAAGTACTGCGTTAGCTGTCAACATCGGAAACAAAGACTCCGCCTCCAAAACAATAACAATCACCGTCGCTAGTTGCACGCGCCCCCCAGAGTCAATGACGTTATGTCCTCGCCCAACGCCGGTTAAGGAAGGTGCGAGCCGGGTCCTCAGGCTGTCGGTGTCCGCTCTCTGCCAGCCCGCAGCCACAGTGAGGATTCGGCCCTGAGAGGGAGAAGGGACGCCGTCAGTGCTCGCAGGAGTCATGGAGCCACTGTATTGAGAAAGTCCAAGATGTTGGCACAGAAAGCAGACAGGCGGATCCGCGGACAGCCCGCGCGGTCGAGGACCCCGGCAGCGGCGCTGCCTGGCGGGAAGGGGGAAATTTCAAAGCGGAGTTGTGGGTCTTGGTGGTGCGGCTCTGGCGAGATGAAGCTCCACTGTGAGGTCGAGGTGATCAGTCGGCACTTGCCAGCCTTGGGGTTGAGGAACCGGGGCAAGGGCGTCCGAGCGGTGTTGATCCTCTGTCAGCAGACTCCCAAAAGTCAACCGCGACCTCAGGCCGGGGGCGAGCGGGGCGGCCCGCACTCCGCCTACCTGCTCATCTCCACCCTGAAGGTCAAGCGCGGGACCCGCTATGAGGTGCGTGGTGAGAGCAGGCCCTGCGGGGGAGTCAGCCACGTTCTCTTCCGCTCAGCGGAGAGGCGAGTCATCCCCGAGGTTGGAGTCCGTCTTAGGGGTTCGTGAGTGCCCGGCCCCTGAGCCCCACCACCACACCTGTTTCCAGGTCTTGGGCTTCACCCAAGGACCCGAAGGAGGAAAGCTGCTGAGAGTACACCTTCTCGTCATTTTTCTTGCCCATTTATGCGACTTTGATTTGACAGTGTTGCTATTTAGTAGTAGATAGTAACTCCACCCTTTTAAAGCCTGTGAAAATTCGGCTTTCATGAAACTAAACTCTAATAAAGCAGCAATCCATTTGAGGGGAACAATAGAGTAACCGCATTTTCGTTCAGTAGATTGATTGTTTCTCACACAGAATTTTCGGTAGCTTTTGTTTTTTTAAGGCTTTAAGGAATAGTATCTAAAGTCGCTAGACCAGATTAGTACAGTAGTAAAGCAGCAGTGCTTTGGGTTGCATCTTGGTATTTTTATGAAATTTGTTGATTACTGCATCTAAGACCTGATCTTTTGGGTCTAGGGCTTTTTCTTATCTGCAGAGCAGTAGTAACTCTCTAGAAGCAGTTGGAATTTGAAATAGAATTTTTAAAGCATAGATTTTATAAAATGTTTTTTCTTCATTACTAGGCAAATGACTTGGAATACCCTTGCATCTACTATAAATAAAGTTGAGGGGGCAATTCTTCACTTACCATTGCATCTGACTCTTGACTGGATTTTATACAATTTCTGGGATTATTTCTCTTACAATATTGTAATCCTCAGTAAATTCTTAGTTGAATAAAGGCGTTACTGTCTTATTCAGAGACATCTAGTGTTTGATGTAAGTAGTTGAAAGTCTAAATAATTTCCCCCTGAAATCAAGTCATAAAATTTTTCAAATTGAAAGGACTTTAGAAATCACCTAACATTTTATACGTTACAAAACTATTAGGTGGCAGAAGCAAACTCATTAGTAGAATTGGGTCTCCCTTTTCTTCCCCTCTTATCTTCCCCCTAAATCTATCTCTTTCAGTACCCAGCTCCGGTACTGCCTATTTAAAAGTCTATAATGATCTCTCTCTTAAAACGTCTACTGCACTAATAATCAATTGCAGGTGGTAATCCTAATCAGAATTTTATTCTAAACCACTAGTTGAAGACTTACTGTGTACAGGGTACAGTGCTAGATACTGTGGGAAATAAACTTAATTTAGTCACTGTGCTGAAAATAGAAAGGGAGAAACAGAAACTACCACTTAGAATACAAGGTGGGCTATGATAAGCGCTATAATAAAGGTAAAAGCAAAGTAGTACAATACCAAAAATGAAATGAATTCTGATTACAGGGGCTTGAGAAGGTTTTGAAAAAGAAGTGGTACCACGGGGCTTGGGAAATAGTAGGTGCTCAATAAACATTTGTTGGATGAATTAATGTGCTGTTGGTCCAGGGCCTTGAAGAGTAGGTATTAGTGCTAAGCGTTGGAAGTACCTTAGGACTCTTTCTTACACCTAGTTTTCTGTCGCATGACTTCAGCTACCATCCAATTGTGATTTCCAAATCTGCATCTTTAGCCAGTCCTCTCCCTTGACTTCCGACTTAAACCTGCTATCTACTTGAAATCTTTACTTGGATGTGTTGTAGCTCTTTAAACTCAAAATGCCTAAAAATTCATTGTCCTTGTCTCTCTTAAACTTGCTTTTCTGACAGTGTTCTGTAACTCATTAAGGAGTGTTCTGCCCCATCCAGTAACCTTAAAGCCTTTGCCTCCCCACATCCAATTATTATTGAATCCTTTCAATTCTACCTCCTAGGTATCTTTCAGATTTTTGTACCTTTTATCCCAGCTGTAGTCGAAACCATCATTATCCCTTACCTGGCTAGTTTCTTAAAGGACGTCTCTACTTCTACCATTGTCTTTTCCCCATCTCACTTTCCCCTCCTCCAAGTTTCATTATTACACTGAGATTAAAGAGAACTGTAAAAATGTAGATCTAACCATGTTCTCAGCTTCAAGGCATTCAGTGGATATTGTTCTTAGGATAAAATCCAACATTGCTAACATAGTTTACAAAATCTTTCAACTTCTAATCTCTGTTTACCTCTTCAGGCTCTCCTGCCTGTTTTCACTGGATCTTTCAGCCAAACTGAACTTCCACCTTCTCACAGCTGCCAAGCTCTCTTGCTTTCAAGGCTTTGAACACATTGTTTTCTTTTACTGGTATGCTATCTACTCTCTCTTCCCTCAGTTTCCTCACTTGCCCAACATTTAATCTTTTAGTTCTCACCTTTAAGGTCACCTTCATACCCCAAGACCATTTAAGATTTCTTTGCTATATAAGGTCATATAGCAGCCCAGTACTTCCCTTGTCTTAATACTTGCTGTGCCTATAATAACTTGTTTTATAATTGTCTCATCATATTGGCAACTTTATAAATACAATTACCGTTTTGATCTTATTCAGTTCCAAGCCCCCTATCATAATGGTACATAATGGCTTCTTGATAAATTGTTGTTGAGGGTTAAAGCAGAAGCAATATTTGTTATTAAAAATTTTTGAGCACATGTTATGTGTCAGTCACTGTTCTGGCTCTGGGGATACAATAATGAACAAAGGAGACAAGATTCCTACTTTCATGGAGTTTGTAATCTTGTGGGAGGCATGCCCATCCCAGACTAATGGACTGAAGTTAAGGCAAGTAACTACTATTGGCAACTCACTATAGCCACATAGCTGGAATGGGAGAAAGGGAGCATTCTCCCCAAAACAGGGGATTCTGTTCTAAGAAGAGGAAAGTTAGCTGAACAGAACTAATATCTAACAGAAGCTAGAGGAGGAATGTAACTACCCAACTGCTAAAAACAAACCTAACCAAACAAAAAACTTTTAAAATTTAAAACCACAAAACACTCAGACTTAAGGACTAAAAGCCAAACCAAAGCCTGGGAAAGTGATTGGCACATTCTAGTTGTAATAAATATTATTAAATAACAATACCTGGTTTTGTTCTTTTTTCCCATTGGTTTTAAGCAGCTGAAGGAGAACATTGATCAATTCTTCACTAAATTCGTGGATGAGGGGAAAGCCACTGTTCGGTTAAAAGAGCCTCCTGTGGATATCTGTCTGAGTAAGGTATGATATTAAAAACATTAATGATTAGGTTGGCTGGCTATATTTTCTTTAAATAAGAAGCTGTTTGAACATCCTGCTATCACATAGATGAATAGGGACGGACTCCTACGGATGAGTTTGAAGAAGTGATGGCTGCTTCCCTGGCATGCATGTATAGCTTTAAAAGTGCAGAGTCAGCCTTAGTAAGGCTGCCCATTGGAAGGAAAACTGGGCTTGCTTCTGTGCCCAAAATAGAGCCTTACAATGTTCTTAGACTGGAACTCTTTAAGGCAAGTGGCACAGGTCTACATTTTGCCAGATGAGGTTACAAATTTAAAGGGTAAAAAAGGATAAAGTACAATTAGAACCCTTTTTGGGTATTTTATTTACTAAAATCATTTTTTAAATACGTAAACCATTAGAATAAAAAAAATGTTTCTTTGCCCTATCTCTACTTTTTGTCTTCCCCCTTCTCCGAGTGTAAGAGCAATGTCTTGTTCAGCCTTGCATTAGTCTTAACCCCAAGTAAAATGCTTTGCAAACATTAAAAGTTTAATAACTATTTAAGGCATTTGTATTGAATGGAATAATTTTGTGCTACCTCCTGTTCTTGTGGTTTTTTTCATCTTCTTTTGATAATTAAGCCTATCCTACTAAGCTGGGGTCGTACCAATTAGAAAAACAGAATAAACAAATTGCTAGAAAGACAAGGCTAAATCTCTTGCCTCCACTTTCTTACTATCTGATTTGACCTTTCACTGGTTTATTCAAAACACTGCCTCAAAGATCAGGGATCTCCTTCCTATTTGCTAATCACATTGCCATTATTTCTTACCCTTTTGAGCCCTGTACAATTTGACACTAATGACCTCTCCCTTAATAATAAAACTTTCTTGGCATCTGTGACAGAGCACTATTCTGGTTTACCCTCCATTTTCTCAGCCACTCCTTTGTCTCTTATCTCTGGCAACCTTTTTTTCTATCTTCCAAATAAAGGCTTTATTCCCATCCTCTGCCTGTTCTCTGCCATACTTATAGCTCAACCTTTATTGTGTGTAACTCTCAAGTCTAAGCTGGTTCCCTCTGGGCCTACTTGACCCAGGTCTCTAGACTTTCTTCAGTCCACTGCACTGTGTATATTGCTGCCAAAATAATACTTACGTCTTATGTAATTATCATGTTCAGAAATCTTCAGCGATTTCCCACATCCTGATCATTCCACTTACCTTGACATAAAGCTCATTTATAATCCATCCCCATATTATATTTTAAGCTTTTACTCTTCTACAAAGCTCCCATATTCCAACCAAACTGATTACATAGTTCATTTCCCAAACTGCTGAAAATTCACTATTTCTTTAGTTGTAAACTTTAGGAGACTTCTAAAGTGTCCTGCCAAGCATTATTTTTATTGATGACTTAGTTCACATACCACTTTATTAGTGATTTCTATGTCCAGCTGGAAGCAATCTCTTTTGCTTTTGATGTTTTCTAGCACTGTTGACAGGGCCATTTGGCCCTGCTTTTGACAGGGTCATTGCTTTTCACAATTCCTAGTCTTTGTGAATGGCACCCCTGGGCATTCTGCAGTGCACAGCACTGTCTCAGCCTATCTCAGGGGCACTGGAGGTTTGGGTCAGTTCATCTTAAACCCAAATTTTAAGTGAAATCTTTTCATGCTTTCCTGTCTTATTTTATATTCTTATGGTTTCTCCTTTGAACAGTTTTATTTAGAGTGTGTCTCTCATAATTAAAAAAGAACTTGTAAAGTTTTTTTTATCTATATTGAAATACAATACTAAGAAATTTATTTTTTGCATATATTTTAATAATTGAATAATTTGCATATATAACTTTACAGAATTTGTTATAGGATGAATTAGCATGCATACATTATCTAAAATGGAATTTTTAATTGTACACTTATTTTTATTTAGGCCAATTCCAGCAGTTTAAAGGGTTTCCTTTCAGCTGTGAGACTGGCTCATAGAGGCTGTGAGATTGATGCACCACTCTCAAACGCCACACCAGTGAAGACTTCAGAATTTGAAAAATTTAAAACTAAAATGGTTATCACTTCCAAAAAGGACTATCCTCTAAGTAAGAACTTCCCACATTCTCTGGAACACCTTCAGACTTCTTATTGTGGGCTTGTCCGAGTTGATATGCGTATGCTTTGCTTAAAAAACCTTAGGAAATTAGACTTGAGTCACAACCACATAAAAAAGCTTCCAGCTACAATTGGAGACCTTATCCACCTTCAAGAACTTAACCTGAGTGACAATCACTTGGAGTCATTTAGTGTAGCCTTGTGTCAGTCTACGCTCAAGAAGTCACTTCGGAGTTTGGATCTCAGCAAGAATAAAATTAAGGCACTTCCTGTGCAGTTTTGCCAGCTCCGAGAACTTACAGATTTAAAACTGGATGATAATGAATTGATTCGATTTCCTTTCAAGATAGGACAATTGACAAACCTGCGATTTTTGTCAGCAGCTCGAAATAAGCTTCCATTTTTGCCTAGTGAATTTAAAAATTTATTCCTTGAGTACTTGGATCTTTTTGGAAATACTTTTGAACAACCGAAAATTCTTCCAGTTATAATGCTGCAAACGCCGTTAACTTTATTGGAATCTTCTGCACGAACCATATTATATAATAGGTAAGACTTTAATAGTTGTAAAATGTGGTATCTTTGATAGCATCCTGGTGTTATCCTCAGAGTAATAAAGTCTTTAACATAGCTTATGAGTGCTGTGCGCAATCTTGCTATGGTTGCCTTCTTTCTGCTCCTTAACCTCTGGTTGTAATGCTTTTCCTCCAGAAAGTATCATAGCTCACTTTCTCACCTCATTTAGTTCTCTGCCCAAATGACACCCCAGAAAAGTCTTTCCTGACCACCCTATCTTAAATTTTATCCCCTACCCTGTTATATTGCTTGATTTTGGGGGGTCATAGGATTTATTACCTGGCATTACATATTTTTTAACATTTGTTTTCTTTCAGTTTTCCAAAATAGAATGTAAAATCCATGAGGGCATGGATTTTGTCTTATTCTCCACTATTTCCCCTAGGGTCTAAAATGTGATACCCTGTCATATGTTAGGCACTTAATAAATATTAATTTATTTTATAATAATTTATATTAATAAATATAAATTAAATGAATGACATTGTTTCTCAAACTATGGTCCCCTAACCAGTAGCATCAGCATCACCTAGGAACTTGTTAGAGATGCATGTTATTTTTTTAAATTTCTTTTTCGGTGAGGCAACCCTTGGTTGACCTTACAGATTGCAAGGACCTTGTCAGCTTACAATCCCTTATTTTTTTATTTTATTTTTTACATGTACAGCACCTGGCTTTCCTAGATGGTCTCCCATCCAAGTACTAAACAGGCCTGACCCTGCTTAGCTTCCGAGATCAGATGGGATCGGGCTTGTTCAGGGTAGCATGGCCAAAGATGAGATGCAGGTCCTTGAACTCTGCTCCAGACCTACTGAATCCAACTCTGAGGGGTGAGGTCCAGCTATCTGTGTTAAAATTCTCTAAGGAGTTCTAATGCACCCTTTGAGTTTGAGAACTCCAAACTGGTTTGGTGGTAAAGTATGATGTTTGAGGTCAGACTGGGTTGGATTCCTGGCTTCACCTCTTAGTATTGCTTTATCAAGTTATTTAACCTCTTTGATTCAGTTTTCTCATCTATGAAACAAGAACAGTAATACCCCTTTACAGAGTTGTGAAGATGAATGTGCAGATGTAATGCCAAAACTCCATAGCTGTTGGTTCTCTTCCCCTTGTCTTTGAACACTAACTATATTTGGTTTCAAGAGATAGCGAAGTCCAGGTATTAATTTTTGTTCATGCTTCTTTCATAAAAGAGTGGAAGCTAATGTGGACCAAATTATTATTGAGTACCTATATAATAATAGGAAGACCATATTTCAAAGAAGAGATTCTTAACTTTTTTTTTAGTGGATGAGAGGCTCTTTAAAAATAAAAACAACTGACAAAAGTTATGGGCCTAGGAAAATGCACACATGAGTCCACACATAGAATTTTGCATACAACTTAATAATGCTCATGGACCCCACTGAAACTGAATCTAGTTTTCCTTCCTCACCATCACTAGCTTAAGATCTCTTATTCTAAAGCAGTGGTTCTCAAACTTCACATTTGGAATCACCTGAGGAGCTTTTAAAATTTCTGTTGTTTAGTTCCCACGTTAGACTTGTTAAATCAGAATGTCTGAGAGTAGGACCCAGGTTTTTTTAATCCCCAGGTGTCCTCAGGTGATTCTAGCTAGGATTAAGAACCACTTTACATCAGTGCTTTTCAAACTTTAATGTACATTCAAATCACCTGGGCTTTTTGTTAGCGGACTCTGTTTCACCGATCTGGGGTGGGGATCCTTCATTTCAAACAAGCTTCCTGGTGAGTCTGAGGTTTCTAGTCCATGAATTACACTTTGAATACTAAGGTTCTAAAAGTAACTAAGGACTTAATTACTGTTTTTAAGACTGTGATCCTCCAAATCTGAGAGTGCATCAGAATCATGCTTATTGAAACTCAATGCTTATTAAAGCAGGTTGTTGGACCGCACCCTCAGAGATTCTTATTCAGTAAATTTGGAGTTGGGATGAAGAAATCGCATCTCTAACAAGTTCTTAGGAGATGCTAATGCTGCTGGTCATGGACTAAACTTTGAAAAACCATTGGTTTAAGTCACTAACTCTTAACTAGGAGTTAAAAATTACCTGCTAAATAACACTACATGTAATTACCTAGAACAGTGCCTGGCTCATAATAGGTCTCAATGAATATCTATTGGATGTATAAATACATGTAATTTCCTTATCTGGCAATTAAAAATCAATGTTATCATTAGCTATGGAGGAGCTTTTAAAATAATATAGAAGAGAAATATATATACTTAGATTCTACCTCAGACCAAATAATTCAGAATCGCCAGAAATGGGCCCCCATTGTATGTTATATATTTTTTAAATCTCTGGAAATGATACTAATGATTTGGGGTTAAGACCACTGATTTGAGGGAACTCTGAATGAAGTCTTTTGGTAATGAATTGCTCTCGAGCTCTTGTTCTAGGCTTTCTCTGAGACTACATATAATTTATTATATGTATTCAAATTGGAAAGTTATGCCCAAATGAGGACTATTATAAATGGTTTCCAGTGATTTGAAAAGATCATAATCAATTGGCTAAATGATTTTAAAAAAAGAACAGACTGACATCCAACATGGAAAAATGCACAGTTGGAACGGAAAAAATAAATGAGCAAAATATGACATAATAGGTATGGGTGAAGAATAATTTGTTAGTGCTTAATGATTTAGATTGTAGTATTTATATTGTTTTTAGAACTTGACCTCAATTAACATAGAGTCTTGTAAAGTGACCCGAACCTTTACTAAAGTGTAATTTTACATGTTTTCAATTCTGTTTTAAAAGGATTCTAGATCCAAAGCCAAGAGGGTAATACCTATTATCTAGCTATTGGCAAATTGACCTAACTACTGGTTACAAACATAAAGTCATAGTCTATTAGAAATATGTGTAGGAACTTAAAATTATGTTAGATAGATAATAGAATTTTTAACTGTTACCTGGTTCGTTAGACTATAACCAATAGCGTGAAAGAGATTAATATAAACATGTGTTAGACACTTCCTGGCACAGTTCCTTACACAAGCAACAAATTAGTACATACGAAAAAATGAAGATTGCAAACAAGGCCATTACAAGCCCCGTAGGAAAAGTAAATCATTATTTTTGATATGTATCTTTTCAGACTTTTCTAAGAGTTTAAAACTCCAGTTTAAATTATAAGAGTAGGTTTTATTTGTTGAACAAGATTTGAACACCTGTTATGTGCCAGCCTAGGCTAGGGACTATAGAAACAACAAAGAAAAAGACAGTGAATGGGAGACTAAATGCCTGAAGGATGGTTGTGTTTAGGGGGGAAGAGTTGAGCAATGGATAGGCAATCTCAAGAGACTGTCTCTTAGTGTCTTATAGATAGGGCAAAGACTATGACTTGATTTTAATTGCATTGGGCACCACTTAAGTTTTAAGCAGGAAGGTGAATGATTTAAGCAAGGTGAGGTCAGCTTTACTTGCTCAGTCAGTAAAACTAATGCCCCAAACAACATGTGTTTTGAACTTGTTTCACACAATTTAAAATTCTCTTCTGAATTTGGTAAGGACAGATAATATATTAAGGACATAATTCATTCTATACAATGGGTTATGCTATTAAGTGGCAATGCTAAAAGATACTTTATGGAGTGGTATAGATCCTTTTTGCTTTATAATATATTTTCCCCATTTCCCAGTTTGGAAGATAAAAAATATACTGAGTCATTTAATTAATAATTGTATTTTTCATGGTTATAATTCAGTGTCCAGTCATTCATGTCCTAATACATGAAGTTCTGAATCTAGTAACATTAAAAATATTTTAAACATTTTTTTTCCCATTAGGATTCCATATGGCTCTCATATTATTCCTTTCCATCTTTGCCAAGATTTGGATACTGCAAAAACCTGTGTTTGTGGAAGATTCTGTCTAAGCTGTTTTATTCAAGGAACTACCACCATGAATCTACACTCTGTTGCTCACACTGTGGTCTTAGTAGATAATATGGGTGGTACTGAAGCACCTGTTATCTCTTACTTCTGTTCTCTAGGCTGTTACATAAATTCTTGTGATACATTAAAGTAATGGGAAATTTCATTTAGTTACAGATCAGATCTGTTTGGGATTCATTTGTGGTTTAACAGTCATATAGGAGAAGAGGAAGCTTTCTTGTATACATGGTTGAGGAGAATAATGTGTGTTATTTTAACATTTTCAATAAATAATTTGACTGTATAGTCTTAATTTCATTAAAACAATTTATTGTAGGCTTAACTTTTATCAGTTTATTGCACTTGGGTTGATTTCAGCCTAGTGAGATTACCTTTTAATGTTTAACAGATATTGAGCCCAATCACTCTGTCATAGGATTTTAATTTTCTTCTTACATTTCAAAGAAAGAAAACATACCATGGAGGACTAATATGGTCTAAATTATAGTGAAAACTTGTTAATGATATGAAACTGCATGCTTTTAAGCATACCACTTTTTGTGTTTTTCAGGTATAGTCTACATATGAAATTTTATGTTCACCAAACAGAAAGTAGGAATTGCTTTTGGATAGACTTCAGCTTTTATAAGTTTTATGTTAATCACATAGTCTTTGTTGTATTTCTAATTTTTATTAATTAGGATACCAACATGTTTTTGAGGTTGGATGGGAGCAGAAAATTGCCACTTTTTATTGACAATATTCTGTATTATTTGAGGATTCTTTTTATTATTTGAGTTACTTAATGTTTTTTTTACTTTAAAGAGTGGTGGCAATACACCAGCTAAAGGCTGATGAAGATTTGAACTAGGGCAGACGGCATAGCAAAGGAACCCATTTGAAACACTCATGGATAATGGAATCCATAGAACTATTCCATTCTGTCCATTTCCACTGCCCTTCAAATCAACTTCTCCTAATTGCAAGTCTCATAAGTGGTTTCTGGGAACAAAGGAGGGTAAAAAGTAAAATTTACTGGAGAAAACTCTCATCGGTGTTTGCGTATCATTGCTGTTTTGGGCTTTGAGTTAAAAATGGAACCTGTATAAGGCTATTTCTTATGGATTAGGTAACTTCTACCTCCTTTGTCTTCCTAAAGTTTTTTTTTTCCCCTGAAAATACAAATATTCCTGAGATAAGACTGTTTTAAATTTTTATTAAAATTTTATGTGTATGATCTCCAAAAGTTTCTCAGAGCTGATTCTTTGAGAGACAAGGCATTGGTCCAGAGGAACAACCTTAATTTGTATTGCTCGTGATCAGTTAGTCTTCCTACAAAACTTCTGTATTCAAGTTTTTCATTAAAAATTTACTTTGGTCTCTAAAACCAATAATTCTGTAATTAACTAAAACATCTTAGAATTTTCTTAACTCATAAATTGGTGAGGGAGTACCCATAACTATTATAAAACCATATCAAAATGTGGTACTTTTAAAGTGATATTTTGTGGCATAATTTTTAACTTGTGCATATCTGATGTTTACATGTTCTTGTAGAAAAATTTTTCATTAACAAATGCAGATATAATACTCCATGTTGGGAATAAGTGTTACCCATTTGTTACTCCTACACCCCTGCTTTTTGGCTTTGCATTTCTTACTCATCTACAAGCCACCCCATGTAAATGTCTTAGCTTACTTAAAATTCATATGCAAAGCGCATTGCTTGCTCTAACCCATACACCCATACCCTTTCCCAGTTTTTCCTTTCATTTGATACTTGTTTTTGCCTTTTATAGGTAGTGACCAGGCTTGAGTTTAAACCTTCTGTTCTATTTTCAATTGTAACTTTACATCCTAAGTCCTCCCAATTAATGCTATATCTACTTCCCAGAGTACATTGTCCCCCCTTACCTGTGGTTTTAGTTACCCTTGGTTAGCCGAGATCTGAAAACTAAATTGGAAACCCCAGAAATAATTCAGAAATTTTAAATTGTGGGCCATTAGTGTCATGAAATCTCCATCCTGCTTGAAATGTGAATCCTTTATGTAGCATGTCCATGCTGTATAGGCTACCTACCCATCGGCAGCCATCTTGGTTATCAGATTAGTTATTACATTCATGTAACTTTTATTAAAGTATAAAAAAACAAAAGTTCATGGTGTCATAGATGGTTCTGTACTAGCTTCAGAGCTTTAGGTAGTTAGAATTCAATTTTTAACTCCTGCCTTACATTCAAAACATCTACAACAGTGCTGTCCAAAAATGATGGAAATGTCCAGTATAACCACTAGCTATACGTGGCTGCTGAGCACTACATATAGCTTGTATAACTGAGGAACTGCTTTTTAAATACCTGTATGTGGCTAGAGGTCTCTACTGGAGTGCAAAGTCAGCTTTTTTTATCCCCCAACCTTGGATCTTCTGCCCCACCCAGTCTGATATACACAAGTTTAGCTTGTCCTCTTCACTTACTTTTCAAAATCTTGAGACCTTTCCCAACAGCTCAATCACGTTTATGAATCCATCCAACATATATATTTCAAACTGACCAGAAAAAGTAAAATACCAATATTTTCCCTATTGTGACTTATCTCTGTAACCTAGTTGTAAAGTTCAAGGTAGGACTCCTTCCCTCTTTATATTATATATAAATACAAAATTCCAATTCTTGTGGAACTAAATTTAATATTCGAGAAAAGAAACCTTAATTCATTTACAATTTACTGTTATTTTTTAATTTAGAAAACACAAGATATGAGCAAGAATATCTGCATTTATTTTCGTACAGGTTCTATAGTTTCAACATTTCTCTCTCAAAAAAACAAAAGACTCCCAAAGCTTAGAACTGGATCACTTGGCCCTTTCTCTTCTTATCTCCTCCAAGTTCAAAATGCTTGCATCTCTTAATGGCCAGCATCCTCTTGGATCTGCAGTTAGGCTCCACACATTCAAGCCTCAGCACAATCTTCTTTGTGGTTTTAGCCTTCTTCCGGAAAATCGGCTTCGTCTGCCCACCATAGCCACTCTGCTTCCGATCATAGCGCCTTTTTCCCTGGGCATACAGGGAATCCTTGCCCTTCTTATACTGGGTCACTTTGTGAGGCTGATGCTTGCCACACTTCTTGCAGAAAGTCCTTCGGGTTTTAGGCACATTGACCATCTTTGCAGTAGAGCTGTCTACACGAC